AGCTGAACTGACCAAACTCTATAATGTTATTAAGCGTAAGATAATCAGAGATTACAACTTACCTTTTGATCAGAATAAACTTCGCTTAGAACAGGAAACATCTCCTTATTTCAAACAAGTTTATGACTATCTGGCACATGATATCTTGCCTAGCAATCGTAAAGCTGCTAAACGTTTAAAACTACAGTCAGGGGAGTATATTTTAGCAGAACAGCTTTTATTTCGCCTCCTGGTACATGATGATGATCGCTTTACTCTTCAGTTAGCCGTTCCGGAATCAATGTGTAATGGCTTAATCCATCAGTATCATGATAGCCAGTTATGCAATCATCAAGGTGTTGTTCGTACCTATTTAACCCTACGGAAGTTATTCTATTTTCCAAACATGTTTCAGCGAATTACACAGTATGTCAATACATGTTCAACCTGCCAACAATTCAAGCCCAAAACTGATACAGCCAGAGTTTTTCATCCTCGAATCCCTGAGGAATATAATGTTTTCAGCAAATTAAGGATTGATTTTAAGTCTATGCCCACATCAGTTTCTGGTTTCAAACACCTTCTTGTTGTATGCGATGAGATAACACGTTTTGTTATTTGTGTTCCTACAAAGTCTGTCGATGCAGAAACAGTTTGCGAAGCTTTAATTCAGAAGGTTGTTTGCCTATTTGGTCCTCCATCAGTTATCATATCTGATGCTGCTTCAAGTTTCACTGGAAAACTAGTGTCTTCACTCTGCACAGCCCTTGGTATTAGTCAGAAAGTGATTAGTGTTGCCAATCATGGTAGCCTTCTAGTCGAACGACACATCAGGTCAATTTCAGACTTCTTAAAGGTCAACTTAAATCAATATGGAACCGATTGGGTCAGATACGTGTCTACGTGCTGCTATGCATACAACTCCTTTTCTTCATCACGATTAGGTAGTCTTTGTCCTTACGAATTAGTGTTTGGTCGTAAACCGAAATATCTTACTCATCTCAATTGGCAATTTGATGGCATTTGTCGCTCCTATTCGGATTATATTTCCCAATTGAAGGACAGATTTGATCATATGTCGAAGACCATAATGGATCTCCAGAAACGTCAGCAGGAATCACAAAACATAAGTGTTGCTCATAATCTGAGTAAGAATCCTGTTTACGGATTGGGTCAGCTGGTTTATGTTCTCAAGCCTTCGTCTTCCAGCTTAACCTCAAATTCACGAAAAATCAAGGCCGATTGGTGTGGTCCTTTGGTTGTCCATCAGGTACTCGATCGAACCCATTACGTTCTTGCCACATTGGATGGCAGGGTGCTTCCGGATGTCTATTCTATTAATAGACTAAAGCCATGTTTTGTACGGTCGCCTAATTTTCAAACTAAAATTACCCATATTGATCAACTGCAAAAGGAGCTGGGTAATGTTCCAGCCAATAATGCTCATACCCTTACTGAAATTAATCCTTTATGTTTAATTACTGATGAGAATGATATTGTACTACATTCATTCAATGAGACTGTAATCCCTTATAATAGGATCACAAAACCAGTTAATTTACACCAGTATGTACATAATAGTGGTGATAACCATCATCTTGCTACTGTTGGGACATTGTCTAATTATCAGTTCACCAAACAATGTCACGTTTTACAAAATGTTTCTAATGTGTCTACCATGGAGTTAAAGAAAGCACGGTTCAAGTGTGGTTCCCTACAAGTTTTAGTTACCATACCGCATACAGAGGCAAGCCATAAGTCTTCTTGGGTCCCTGTAAATTCTTGCCCTACATTATTTGCCATTGTCAATAACCTTGTTCATGATAATAAGCTCCAAGTTACAGGTAGCATTAGTAAATATCGATTGATTAACATGTAATACTGTTATTGTAGTGTTCATTCAGAAACCCAGCTGTATATCAACCTAAACACTGTAGATATCTACAACATGTGTTTTAGTACACTAATGGGGTTCGGAGCATTGTGAATGTTCACTTTAATAGCTTCCATATCGTATATGTAAAAATATTGTTTGAGTTATAATATGTACCATAGTTTTAGTTTTGCTTTTCTTAAAATCATAGTTCACAGTTTGTCCAACCAGTTGTACTTTGACTTCAAAAACTGCGTTTTTGATTTCAGTCGGGGGGATGTTGTATAGCCATATATTAGTTCTAAGCATGTATTATTGTGGTCTGTATCCTGCTACTAAGGATACATGATTTATCTCCCTTACATATTGCCTGTTGTAAGACTTGATAACTTGTATGTTTTTGGGAGTGAGCTCCCCTGGTAGGAGGTGAATAAACATGTGCCTATGAAAGAAGTCTTTTGTTTCTATGAATGTCTTCCAATGAAAATATCTGAATACGTGTGGGTTTGACCATTCACAACATTATATTCGTTATACATTTTTAAAATAATAAAGTTTACAATATCCGCCATTATACTACCACTTTTTCATAACTGCATTTGAAATCTATTGAAATTGAATTTTCTATAAAAATCTACTAGTTTAGTATGACTATAGTGGTGCTTTTAACTGGACATAACTTGCGTGAGAAGTTAGAAATTCGTGATTTTTGGCAGTTGCAGGTATTCCATAATTTAAGTGTAAATTTAAGTTTTTCACATAGCCAAGGAAATGTAACATACAGCCTTTGAATACTGATTTAAGGTAACACAGTTAGTTAAGTGGAAAAATTAAGTATTTTTACTCAACTTTCAGAAAACCTTTGTATATGGGTCCAGAACTCACGTCAAACCCGCTTATTCGGTATCAAAGCAGTGTTTTGACGTCAAAATAACGGCAGTGTGGCGACATGACGTCACGGCGTCACACCATAACATGCTGGCGTGGTGATAATTTTATTTTCCGATTCGTTGATATCACTGTTGTATCTAATGATAATACATTTATTGCTCTAAAACGAGCCGTTTCCAAGATATGGAGGCCAGAAAGTCCAATTGGCGGCCATCTTGGATTTATGCTAATTATGAAAAACGCTACAGGGTTTCAGCTGACAATTTTGAGTTGGGAGTCCTTTAGACATCCCTTTACTAGATTCTAGTAAAAGAAATTCTTTTGCAATTTGTTCTCGGTAGTTTTTTTTATTTCTCTCCGTCTAGAGGTTTCAGCGGGGCATTTGACTGGGAGGGGCAGATAAATATGGCCAAAAAGACTTAAGTTTGCCTCATAAGTAATATGATCAGAATTATTTCTAAAATGTTGCCATACAATGTATGAATATAAAAAATATAAATCTGACCGGAAAAAGTGGGGTTATGCCCTTTTCTGACTGCCTTAAAAAGTGCTGACGGGGTCAAAATTTGCCTCATCTATATATCTATATATATATTTGTGACTGTCGTTTGTCTGTCTGTTCGGGGTTGGCGGCTACACTAGGTCTGCCCCGAGTCTGAAATTTGGGGTATAGGGGTAGCTCGGACCGGGGAGTAACATAGGCTAGGTGGCGTTAGTCTATCACTTCCGGTTTCGGAGTTATGACCCCCGAGCGAAGCGGGGTATCCTGCTAGTAAGTAATATAGTTGAAATTGGTGCCAAATGTTAGTTATGTACCAGCCGGTTCTAGAAATATCAAATCTGATAGGTTTCGGTGGGGCATATCCCTAATCTGACCACTTAAAATCTGCCCGATCTGCCACGCCCACAACACGATCAGAAATAGTTTTGAAATGTTGTGGTGCTATATCTGAATCTTAAAATGTAAAATCTGACCGGAAAAAATGGGGCCACGCCCGTCTGACTGCTCTAAAAAATGTGGATGGTTGCCCAAATAGACCAACAAATGTAATGGATTTAACATGATTGAAGTCATTGTGGGACGAATTACTGACCTGAATCAATCCATATATAGCCATTTATATTCTCGAGGACATTACATAGACTAGTGAAATAAGAACAGCTGTATTAATTGGGTAATGGCATTAAATGAATCCTTTTCTGGTACGCTGACCCGTTGTGTATTTGCTGTTAAACGCTCAATTATGTATAGCTGCAGCAGAAGTCGATTGGGTTTGTAATAATAGTAATTACTGTTAGGCATTAAGTAAACACCAGCGGATTGAGATCACTTGTATCAAATAGCAGATTTGATTAACTATTGTCGAACTTTGGCATAATGACGTAATAGCATGTCATATTGGTCACAGCGTTCCACACTTGCAAGCTAAAGATGACACCGGGTTTGTTAAAATAGCATCTCATTCTAAAGGAATAATGAAAAAGAGAGACAGAGACAGACAGACAGAGCGAGAGAGGTAACGTCCACTCAACAAAAAGTAGGTCATATCGGGACTACCATATGATCCAATTTCATTTTAATAATTGGCTTGTGCATAGGGGTCTGTAATAGTGGGGGGGGGGGGGCCTACTCCTTGTCACATTCAAGCGGCGAAAGGAATCTGAAAAATGGCAAAATGCATTCTAATCGATTTTGAAAGTCTTATAGACGGACACTACCCCCTTGACTATAGTGCCCAGGCCCAGGGCTCGAATCCCGAAGTGAGTCGAGAACATTCTAAGAGATTTTACAAGTCCGGTTCTCACTTACAACAGTTGGAGCCTACAGGGCTGACAAGAAAAGTCTAACAGTTTTACACACTTGCATGCAGGTAAAATAATATTTATAAACTGAAGAGGGCCTGGTAGACATAAACGTCACTGTACCCCCCCCCCCCCTCCCTTGCAATACACATGTAACCAGAGAACAGATGGAGTTGACAAGACTTTCCGTATTTCAACAATGGACAATGGATATTAAAAACTGCTATATCACAACCATGTCTTTCTTTATGAATGTAAAATTGTTTAATCATTTTCAATACAATTCTAAATAATATACAGGAAGTCGTCGTGTCATCTGTAATGAGTAGTATATATATATATATATATATGGTAAAGTGTGCATTTCCGTCAAACGTAATTATCTCGTTCGTATACATCATTTTATATCGTTTCTTAAAATTTTTAAATATGTTTTTCTGCCGAAGATGTTATTTATTCACATGGTATGGAACATTTATAATGAAGTTGCAAGGTGGTCTATATTTCTAGACATTAGCGTCTATGTAATAGAACAATGACAGTGGTTTCAATTTCCAGTTAAAAAATATAGAATTTACTTTCAACAGAACAGGTGAGTCAAATACTAGTTTATCAACAGTTGCTTTTATAGCTATAGAAACAATAGACAAATTGGCGCAGGCAAAAATAATAAACAAACGTTTTCTAGGTATTTGATGTCGATTTTTACATCCCATGAGAAAACAAATAAAGCAATGATTTTATAACCTATACAAAATATAAACAAATGTTTTATGGCATGTCAGCTCCAACCGGGCTATATTGCGCCAAACATATGGTGATTATTTCGAGACAGGAAAATATAAACAATATGAAGTGTGGTCAATGTGGACGGAAAAATTCCATTTAGTTTATTTGGTGGAATCTGGTAAAAGTGTCAAAATGCTCAATGGGATCCCCAATGCATATATAAATCTCTCTGAGTAGGTCAAAGATCACATTGGTCGCCAAGCCCAATCTACCTTAAATGCAAATCTCAGTACAAGCACAAAATGGGTATCAAACTGTTCATTTGGATGCCCTAGGGCAATTTGAATCCTTCTGAGCGGACAATTTCGAGAATTACCCCGCGTCTGAATAGGCCACCATTGATCGGCCACGCCCAAACCACTTTATATGCATATGTCAGTACATGCCTTCAGTACAAGCACTCAATTAATATCAAACTGTTCCTTTGGACCGCTTGGGCAACTTCAATTATTCTCAATTTCAATAAAGGCAATTAACCTGTTTCTGCGTAGCTCAAAAGTAATCATTAGTCGACAACGCCCAATCCACCTTCAGTACAAGTATAAAATGGGTATCTAGCGGTTCCCTGTACCATCCTTGGGCAATATAAATCATTCTGAGTCACCAATGTTGGGAATTAACCCACTTCTGGGTAGGTCAAAAGTCACTTGATGCCCAATTCACTTTCAAACTTTGATTTGGATCCCCCGGGGGCAACACCAATCCTTCTGATTAGTCAATTATAGGGCTTAGCCCACTTCTCAAAAGGTGAAAGATCACCATTTGTTGGCCACGCCAAATCCATCTTAAATGCATACCTCGGTACATGCTTCAGTACAACATTGGTATCAAACGGTTCCTTGGCCCCCTGGAGGCCGAGATCAACCTGGCACACTAAATCCTTGACAAGAATTACCGAAATATTGTGTTGGTGAAACATTAATTTAAACCCCAAATCATTCCATTAATTAGATTGAGAATGTGGATCATCACTATTCTATTCTGTTTACAGGGGAGGACTTTGTCATTCAATGCAGATTAATAACCAAAGCCACTCTCATTACTCTGATTTAAGGTACATATACACAGACAAGGAAATATGGTTTATCACATACTTGGAATAATACTGGGTTCATCCTTCACCTTACCAACAGTAGGAGCCAACAAAAAATGTCTTGAAACAGTGGACGCACAATACGGTGGACTTCACGCCAACTGTTCCCACATTAAAACTTCAAGAGTTCCAGAAGATCTTCCCGACAACACCACAACCCTAGATCTAACCTTTAACAACATTAAAACTCTGTATAATAATGATTTCAAATATCTGACTCAACTACGTTATCTTGATCTCAGCTTTAATCCTATTGATACTTTACAAGAATTCTCATTTCATGGACTTGATTCATTATTAGTTTTAGAATTCAATGGACACAATTTGAATTATACAGACATCTCTATGCCTTTGGAAGTGTTCTCCCCACTCCAATCCTTGACGAATTTAAGCCTCAGGTCTGATATTTCACGTTTTCCAAACCGTCAATTTATTATACCAGATCGAGTCCTAGGATCCCTAACAAAACTAACACATTTAAATATCGACATGAGTTCCGATTTTCATTCTGGATTTTCTAATCTAACCGAGCTTAAGGAACTCATCGTTGGTGGAACCTGGAAACACGGGCAATGGTTAAATTGTGAACTGTCCTTATTAACAAACACATCATTTAAGGCTTTTTCTAATATCCCTGTTCAGCTACTTCAGCTAAATAGCTGCATAATTAAAAGTTTCGAGGAAGACTTTCTTCTGCCATTTCCCAACTTGAAAACATTGTTGCTCAATAATATAACTATGAAGAATGGTAATTTTTCTCGCTTGATTCAAGCTCTTCGTGTGTTTGAATATAAGAATATGACTGAGATCAGTATTAATCGAATTATAACATTTTTACCCTACATCGGATTTAATAGAAGATTAGATCTACAATCACTGTCCAAGATATGCTTGGAGAAACTTGACTTGAGTCAAAACCTGATTAACCTTATAGATCTTGATGTTTTGTTTACCCCACCCTATCCACCCTTGACCAGATGTATAAGACGATATAATTTTTCAGCTAATCGCATCACAGGAACAATAAGTTTGCATCGTGCCCCCTTTCTCTTTTTCGCCACGTCTATGCTGGAAGACGCAGACTTATCAGATCAAATGAAATTCTCTTTCAACAAATATATAATCCGGGCAACACCATCTGATGCACATCGTAATTTTCCAGAACCAATACCAATCTATATCTCCAGCAAATTGAGACGTTTAAACATGGCTGGATTACCACATGAAATTGGAGAATTGAAGGTTAATGTTGTGTTTTTTTTGGCGAATAATTTAAAATATTTGAATATGTCTTATTGTGGACTGTACAATATGAAACGTAAAGTATTTGGACTTGGTAATTTGGAAATTTTGGATGTAAGTGGAAATTCCTTAAGCATCATAAATGTGGAATTTCTTGATGAGTTTCCAAATCTTAAGACATTGCATGTGAGTAACGCTCTGTTGGATAACGATTTCCTTGCTAAGAATGGTCGCAGATTCTTTGGTTCTCTGAAAAAGTTGGAAAATCTGGATCTGTCTAGAAACGGTCTTGTGTATTTACCTAACGGTTTATTTAACTCAATGGTTACATTGAAAGTACTTAATTTAGCCAATAATAACCTTATAACTATACCAGACGTAACCCAGTTGGTTAAGCTGAACGCTTTGTATCTTACCGATAATGAAATAACTACCTTAAACCATCAAACTAGAGACATGTTAGAGAAAACTAGCGAAAACAACAAGAAGTTACAGTTATATCTTTGGGGGAACACATTTATTTGTACCTGTGAGGCGATTCCATTTTTGTTATGGTTAGAAGAAACTCGTGTTAATTTAGATCGCATCAGTTATTCTTGTGTAGAATCATCAGGAATACCCACCTCGACTAAAGCCGTTTATAACCAATGGACATCCTTCAACCGAAAATGTGTTTCGTCCTCTTGGCTGAATATAGCTATTGGGGAATTCGCCATCGTTGTTCTTACTCTCATAGTAGCCTTTGTTTTCACCAAAAACAAAATGAAACTGAAATTACTGCTTTTAAGGATGATTGGAAAAAATATTTACCCAAAGAAAAGAGATGATTTTGTGTATGACGCATTTATAATATACACGGACTCTATCTCCGGTTGGGTTTGTAATGAACTGAGAAATGAACTGGAAACAAATCGTGGAATCAAGCTGAACCTTCGTGATAGAGATCACCTACCTGGTGGTTCCCGAGCCGATGACCTGTTGGAAGCTATACGTGACAGTTGGAAGATTGTTTTAATCTTAACCGAAGATTTTTTGAGAAGTGATCTAGCCTATTTTGCTATGTGTAACTGTTTATCATCAATAACACTGACAACACCCCAGAGATTAATCGTTTTAATCGATCATCAGATAAATCTAACGGCTAATCTTGATTTTCTTCTTGAAGCTGTCACCGAGGACAACATTCTATATGTTGATCTGCAGCATCCGTTAAGTATTGCTTTCTGGGACAAAATATCCAATGTCATTAAATCAAAGGAAGATATAAACGTATAGCGTAATATCGGATTGAAATAAAAACATTTTAAATAGCATATTTATGATCATTAGTTGTATTTTTCACACAATATCTAAATTTTCACGGCGTAAACAGCGCTAAAATATTCTCACATTTCTTTCAAATCAGGTAATCGAGTGGCTTGGGTTCAATCGGATTAAAAAAAAATCATGAAAAGATTTACCCAACACTTTTAGGTGTTTACATCGTCCACAAAGGATGCTGAATATAGGTGTTTACATCGTCCACGAAGGATGCTGAATATAACGAAATGTTCAACTGACTAGATTTACCCAACAAATAGGTGTTTACATCGTCCACGAAGGATGCTGAATATAGCGAAATGTTCAACTGACTAGATTTACCCAACACTTTTAGGTGTTTACATCGTCCACAAAGGATGCTGAATGTTGCGAAATGTTCAATTCACCAAATCGTTTTAAATCTTGAACTGACAAAACATTTTGGTTCGGTATTTCTTTTAGAGATTCGTGTTTCAAAATAGTGTAGTTTTCAAGGTACATGTATATAAATCCCTCACATGATGTTCAGCCCGATTTCCGATTGTTTTAGCACATACGGCGTACATGATACACTTGATCGAGTTTTCTGAGTGGTCTTTTCCACAAGTACTCGCCAATCCATCGACTCATCATTGTAAGGAATTATATATTAAATACTTCTAGTTGTTCGGATGGTACGAAAAATCCCGTGTAATCTTTGGCATGCACGTAAAAGAACCCTTGACATATGGAATGTTTAAGCATGGTTTTCCATTGTCAGACGTGGAGGGATGCTGGAAACGACAGCGTCTAGTGTACTAGTTGGCATGGACGTAAAAGAACCGTTGACAGTTGGAATTCGAAACACGAGGTCCTATAGCGCCGTTGACCTGAAAAAATTCCCCTCACAGCTTACTGTATGTCGTATACCTGTCTTCGTTATCCCGGTTGGTACAGAAACGTAGAACGTTAAACCCCGTTTCATTTCATTCATTATATAATAGCGGTTAAGGGCACAGTATACATTATCTGAGACGCGCATTACACACTTTCAAACCAAATTGTTTGCATCCGGTACATATGCTATACTTAAAAATACCCACTTCATAACGGGACGCTGCCAATCATTCAACTACAAGGCAATATTTATTTTGAATGAACTCGGGCATGTTGGTTTTCGTGAAATTTGTAATCTATTAATTATAAATATCAAACGATCTATCCATAACGCGTATAATAGTTGTTTGTCTTTTGTGTATAGTCATTACGTCATCGTCTATTTTTAGACTCCTCAAATGGAAAGTTTCAGATAATCATATTTGTTTCTCTGTAACATTTCTTAAATGATATTAAAGTTGCGCTGAGCTAAATAGTATAGTCATTTTCCTTATTTAAATTTAAACAAGGCGGGAGCTGAATGTGTTCTTTAGATATCAATGTAGATGATTAACTAAACTCAGGTTAGGTACCGTCTTGACCTCGATGTTCATGGATAGAAAATAGGTTGACGTTCGCGTTCTAAGATGTGAAATGATGAAGTCATTAAATCAACAGATAATAATGAAATCTTTAATCCGGGCTTATGTCGAATTGTGCAACTGGATTCAACTGACTGGAACTTGTTGCTTTGAGCCCTTAGAGGGGCGCAGGTCGACTCATTTTATTTCAATACTGAAGTCAGCTGAAGCCAGTATGTAGGTATGTAATTGCGGGACTACCACACGATAGAATTTTATTTCAATCATTCGCTTGCGTGTAGGTAGACAACCATACTCCTCGTCAAGTACAAGAATGGGATGGAAACCAGGCCACTTTACGTGGGGTTGAGATGACCAAGTGGTCTAGAGTGTTGCGCTTCGAGCTCCCTGTCACCTCTGACTTCTGGTCGTGGGTTCGAACTCTGGTGTAAGCGTCTGTGGCTTAAGGATATGGAGCCTTCTGAACCTCGTGGGTTTACTCCCGGTACTCCGCTTTCCTCCCACAGGAAGTCCCCTGCCTGCGCATACGTTAAGCATAATAAAATAAGACAGCTTGTCTGCGATATCACCATCGATGGAAATGGAAGATAAACACTAACGGAATGCAGTTCCTAATATCGGTCTAGAAGATATGTTCCATACGACTTTAAGTTTCTATTGTGTGGTTTTTATAGATTAAAATACTAACTGTAATCTTTATAAACTCCCAATACGCATGATAAATGGTATCAGATGTTCTATTAAGGGTAAACATCGCCTCCATTGTCTCTTTTAATAGCTAAACTGATTCAATTTCATTCAGTTGTTACTGAACATCAGTATACGTCACATATTTACACCCAAGTTGCGTTACGCGACTATAACCTAGTCCGGGTTGAACTTAGGAGTTTTCTCAAAGAGAAGAAGCCGTCCTCTCCATACACCCCCAATCGAACTTGCAACCCCAGTCATGAAATTCATACATCGCCACCGAATTAGACAAATAAGATTCCCCACGAAGTATATATAAGATCTGGAGACACCATGGGAATGAACAAGCCAGGCGTCCCAGATATACAATCATACAGCACACCACATATGTACAATCCAGTCAATATCTGAATCATCCGATGGTCTAGAGAGAGTTGATTATTGGCTTGCCATGTGAATAAATATCTAAATAATATTAATATAACATTTTAAGCCAGGAAAAATACCTGACAGTTTCAGATTTATCTCTTGTATAATGCATCTTTAAAAATACCTGGTAGTTACAGATTTATCTCTTGTATAATGCATCTTTAAATGTTAAATAATCTAATACATCCTAAAACAAAAACTAGATTTTTCTAGATTCGTTACAGAGCCGAACCATTATCTAACTTGAATAAATTTCGATATTAGGATACAAGCAATAAAATATGACCTACTGATAAGAGATCGCGCAGTGGACGATTGCGGCTGGCCCCTTATACGTTTCTGTTTATTTTTTGAAATGTCCGCGTGGGCTTATATTGTGTGTCTTGTCCGTGGGTTTGTCTTGTGTAAATGTTTATGACTCCTAATACTAGAATTGTCATATTCGGCACCCCTTAAAACCTATAAAATAACATTAATAAACACATAACTGGTGAAACTGACAAATGCGTCATTTTAGTGACATATTGTCGGATCGACCTTATACTAAGATTTTCGTTTTCGGCACCCCTGAAAAGCTGTAGAAAGAAATATTTAACCACAAAATAACAAATAATATTATCTTGTTTTGGAACATATCGACATCTTTGAATGTCTTTTTCTCAAAACTTCCTTTTCTGCCTTGGGCACCTTCATACGGATATAGCTCAGTCAATATTTGCTCGATTCAAACAAGCCTTGATTCATGAACAATGTTAAAATAGCAATAACTTGTGACACATTTTGCATTATGTATTAACCATTATAGCAATTATAGTAATTAATCTGTCTGAATCCATAACTGGTTACATAGCATTATATTACTATATCCAATCAACATGAGGCAATGGTCTCTTCCACGAGTACGTGGTTACTAATTTGTGGGATGTCGTGCAAGGGACATAGTATGCTTATTATGTCGTGGGGGGGGGGGGGCAATACTTTCTCTGGAAATACTAATTATCTAATAATTCAACAGTCCTTTGAACGTTTTATATCTGAAGCTCGCGTGACATATTATTGATTTGACGTAAAGCGTATAAAAAATAAGTGAAAGGCATCATTCTTCCCGGACCAGTTTTCGCATTACCTCTGTAAAACAGATTGAGCAAAGACCTTCAAAAACGAGGGCTTACTTTCTTCTACTAATACAATCTCAACTCACGGCATAACTGCGACCAAGTGTCGGTACTAAAACCCACCACGGCCGTGGGAATATGCTAATGATAATTTATAAATGAAACGAAAAAGAGTATAATAATATACTCATACACCCGATTAGATTTTATTACATACTTCGAGAAGGTATTTGTTGGGTAATAAAACCTTCTAGTAGTTTATCGAGGGCTGGCCGTCCTTACCGCACGGTACAAATATTATCACATAAAAGAGCAGTTGACATTTGGAGTTCGAAGAAAAGTATGCGTAAACGCCACTGTCCCAGCAAAATCCCCCTCTCGCATTGCACAATTAAACAGTTAATAGTAGGAACAGCCCTACATGCCCTACACGCAAAACAAAATCTACAAGATAAACCTGCGGACAAGACAGAACATAGACATTGCAAGAAATAAACAAATATCAAATCAAGTGAATATCAAATTCTAGTAATCCCCAAGATCTCACGCCGGACAAAACGTTGACCGTTGACCCCCTCCCCATCCCACACACTCACACGCACACCCCGGGCTTTGTTCACATCCTTGTTGTGTGTGTGTGCTCTGTTGCCCCGACTATGTCGTGACAGGACGTGTTTAAGATAAATAAAATAAATCACCTGCAATTATATAATGACATGAATTTATACATAAGAAACTCTTCTGTGAACAGAAATCATTTTCATATACTTTAGCATTTTAGTAAACACAAGAAAGTTATCTACGAATAAATGTCGGTATATTCGTTCAGAAATACAAACTGTTAAAATCAGTCATATCCACCGATGAGGCCTTCTGCTTCCGCCATTAAGGCTACCCTCGGTTTGATCTTCATCTCCACGCGCTTCATCGAATACGCGAGGTTCTGTTTCCATTCGAACCACGTGATGCCAGTAATAACGCCATCTGGTGTGATATTCTGTTCTCCGTTGGGGTGAAATATTCCATTAAGGGACGCGTAACTGCAGGCATTAAACCACCAACCGGACCGATCTTTATGGGAGCAACTAGCGTACCATTTGTCGTGATCGCGATCCATGGTACTGAAGAACATATTATTGTGATAGGCGAGGGAATCTCCGGCCGTCCCCGAGAATCCATTGACCGTCAGCTTGTATTTATTCTCTTCACTCGCCACTTTAAAATAATCATACTGTGCCCATGCGTGCTGATCCTCCCAGTCCAGGAGGTCAATCCGTAGCGTGTA